GCTAAGAATGATTATTATGTGAAAATTTTTGAGGTGATTAAATTTTGGTTTTGAAACCCGCGTGCTGCCACGTATCTGCCCGCCTCACTTACACGACCTTTCTGAGAGTGTGAATTTCTTTTTTCTTATGAATAACCAGAGTATTTTTTCATATATGGATTTCTGTTTCGAATTTCGATTTACGATTTTATTCGAAATTGTGATCGATTTTTTTCGTAACTAGGTCGAGTTTCATATTAACTTTCTAGGGCTTACTCTTGTTTTTCATTTTTGTTTGTTTGTTGTATCGGTCATTTCTCCAATAGCTTTGCACGCGCTTTCTGCTTTCGCTGCCTGTATCGTTATAACCTATGAAACGATCATGCCATTCGTTCCACTAGTCAACGACAATTCTCGTTTTATGGATAAAGGTTACCAATTTCCTTATACATAATACTTATTCAAATGAAAATGTATTATAATACAATTTCAATAGTGCATGGCGCGTTCAGGGAAACTTAGCAGAAAATTTGTGGACTATCTCCTGTCGTCATAATTTTCCATCTTTAAGCAACGATTGGTCAGAGACCCCTTTCACAAACTCACACGTAGAATGGTCCCGAAACTGCTAATATATAACGCCAAAAAACTCAATGGTTCTACGGCCGCATCTCACTAAAAACACGCGCGGTGTCACGCACCAGACACGTTTAGAGCGCGCGGTGGTGAAAGGGTTAAAGGCTGGGTGAAAATCGCTTGAGGAAACGACGGCTCGTCGAGGATTTTCGCCTGCTCTTTCACGCTCTCCCGCGCGAACATTCACTCTCGGCACCCTCGAATCGGCTGTGCCCTCCGCGCGTACATTAAATCTCGACTTCACTCTCGCACGGCAGAGGCTATGGTCGAGGAATTCCTCAACCCTTATTCACCCGGATTGTAGGCAGTAATCACGATCGCTGGAGGGTGGTACAGTTTCAGTGACGTTATTGAGCGTCATTGTTGGGCTACATCTTCTTACAATAAGCGTTGGCAGTTGTGGTCGGAACCGCCCCTTGACGCCCTTCCACCTACGATGTTCAATGACGTCGTCAAAATCACACCGCCCTTCGAAAATCGAGATCACTCCCTTTATTTACCATTGTTTTGGCATTGTTTAAGGACATTATTGAACCAATTGCCCTTTACCATCAGCCCTTTTTGGTATTGCCACGAATTCACTTCCATTCGCAGTCGTAGTGGCATCTGTATAGGATTTCACCTACATAAACATGCAATGGTTCGTGAGGGCCAGCCACTGTAATGTATATGTTCTAGCCTTTAATAGGACCGGTGACAAATTGCTGACACCGAAAGGAAGGCTGTGTTCACTCAAAGAAAATTTCCCGAAAATTTCTTGCACTCTTTTCTAACATGAACGTGTCAGTTGTGATCCCTGGAGACAATACACAAAGTTTCACTCACGAAAATTGGGTTTCTGATGAGAAGCAAACTCTTCAGAACACACAACATGGACAGCAAAAGTAGATCGCGCGGAGCTAAAGGCGGGGCAAGGGAAAAGTGCGCCTTGGGACGGCTATGTATAAGGCGGCGCAATGTAAGAATCCGGTTTAAGCATTTGATTTTGGAGAATAGAGACAAAACAATCGATAGAATGTGACGCAGTAGAAGTGTGAGATGTTAGTACAGTAAGTCAAAAAGAGTTCTTAGTGACGGCATTCAGAAAACCAAGCGGAAACGTTGTAGTATATGGGTAACCTGAATCAGTTTTACTGGATCATCCAAGTTTAGATAACTTGTGAGTAATATCTCGGATTGAGATGGGGCCGCGTGTAGGTTGTAAAAGAGCATGCAGGTGCAGACTAGTATCCCTAGGTGTCTCCTTAGGTACTTCAGATTGTCTCACTAGCGATAAACCTAAGCCACGCCTCCATCTACTGTCGATCCGTCTTCTGATCGAGCTGATCAGTTAGTCTGGAGTTTTACCGAGTTCACGGGATGTGAGCAGATCGGGCTCTCTCGGAATACGAGAGGGGAGTTTCCCAACGTCGTCGAGAACGACTTGGAGATGGACTCTACGTGCTAGAGGGCTCCCCCTGGCTCCGAAGCGTTGCCCAATGCGAGCTTCGTTCTCTTCACACCAGTTGAAGATTGGACTTTCCCCGAGTGGAAGTAGTGGTGCAGTAGTTCGTACAAGACGACTACAAATGCACGTTGGCCTAGGCATGACTTACGCAATGGTCGTTCCCTTTTGCGATCAGAAGGATGCGTACGTTTGAACATCTCCAATTAGGGGATGGTTCAATCGTGCAAGATGGCAAGTGAAATGTGGACAGTCTCCTTTTCCTTGACTATTTGAAGCCTAGAATTCGCAGTAGTAGACTCTAGCACTTTTTGTATATTGGTTGGCTCATTGTCAATCATTTTGTAAACAGTTTGCAATAAATGGTTAATTACGAAGAAAGCTGTCACGAAACATGGAACTCGCGATTCGAACAACGTTCCCGCCGCTAGCACTTGTGACAGATATCCGGCGGGACTTCAAACACGTACCAGCTCTTCCAGGTTTTCCGAATTGTTTACAAGAACAAGAGCATTTTTTGATCTTTTCGTTCTTATTGTGGACGGAGGGCATCAAGTCAGTGAGTTACGGGTGAGGTAGAATCATGATTTTTACGGAAAGCGCTTTCTTTGGATAGATTCGGTTGAGATGCACCATGCACGCTTATTTTATCTAGTATTGTAGAATAGCTTAGTTACTCTATCGCCTATTAAAGACACGCTCCGGGATCAGGGGTGCCCACCTGTTTCATCCCCGACAGTAGTGGACAGGCGGATCAGGGTTTATGTCCCGCCCCCTTTGTGGCTTGAAAATGCGAGACAAGGGCGGGAGAAGCTTGCTCGACCCGCAATCCACACCTTGACTCGCAAGCCCCACCTTCCGCAGGCGGCTGCCACGTGGTGCGGAGAGAAGAGCGCGGGCGCAGTTGCAGCCGCTGTTGAATTGCGGGGATTTCATGACATCTAATACTTTTAGAAATGCGAGAACCAGGTGGTATGTTGAACGCCTTCTACGCCCATTTTTATCGCGGCGCTTGCTTTTAAGTCTAAATAAAAGGCAGTGCCGAATTGCTAGTCATCACCTTTATTCAACAAATTTCCCAAGAGTATAGGGTCCGCCAACATTACGTGCCTAGATTTCCTCCCTTGTGAGAAGTGGAGAGAAAAGTTGAGGGTTCGTGTTCTAACAGAAGTTTATGAGTGAAGTGTATTCAAACCCCGCTTCACATCTCAGAGTGTCTCTTTCGGACCGAGCATGAGCCTTCATTTGTGACGATAGGACGTCTACCTTGGTGCATAGGTGCTTCGAAGAAATCCTGCTCGAACCTTGACCAGATTCTTGATTTGGGCTCCGACGCACACGAATATTCTACTGTATTCAAGTAAGTATTATACTTGTTATTGCCGCTTTTGAGCGCTGGTGAGGCCAGGAGTGGTGTTCTCGCAGTGCTGCGATTTCACCTGCTATCTACGAGCCACTACTGCACCTTGCTGAAACAGCAAGGTATGCAAGTGAGGGCGTGAGTTCATAACCGATCGCGTCCCAGACCATGAATTTGTTGCTTTTTCTTAACATTCATGAACTCTCCATGTCGCGTACCACGAAGACCGTTCCAACGGAATCCTGCGAAGTCCTGCAGGCATGACCCCGTCGTGCCATACAAGTTTGTGTGACATCATTCTGTGGCCTCTTGACCACAGCCTCATTGCCTCCCGTCCTTGTATGAAAAGGATTCTCTTGTGTGCTAAGACAATTGCGCTGCTGTCTATCAGCAGTAAGGTCAGCGGCGACGTTGGCAGATTCCACGATCAGTCCGCCAGACGGAGGAGGTCAGCCACGAATACGACTCCTCCTCCCCCTTTCCTCCCCTAAATACCACCTCCACCATCATCACTGTTTCTTGATTCCAAGACCAATCAACACGCTCCAGTTTCGTGCACTTTTTCTTCCAGAGCGGCTGTCGAGCATAAATATGTCTAATGTAAGCGGTAAACACTTTAGTTTTGCTCCTTCCGCCTTCGCATTGTTTCTGCAGTTTCCATCGAAAATGTCAAACGGAAACTCTTCTTCCTCCTTCCCCACTGCAACATTTCTTCATACGTGACGATAATCTTAATCGAGAACGTCGAGAACTTCAGATGGTCAAACGGTTACGCCGACACGCCACCGAGAAATGGTCCTTTCCGGTGAAATGCTGTTTAGAGTGAACTTGACTTCCGATCATCAAAATGATTGAGCACTTCGCAGCATGGAACCGTGGAAGCTGATGGTCGATGGTGTTGTGTCGGTCGCTGGATCCAGGGGAGGGTGCATGCCACGACTGAGAAAAACCCCGATGACCTACGAGGGTCAAGCGCACAAAAAGTCAACCGTTAGCAGCCCGCGCCGACTATTGACTTAGGAATGAACTAACTAAATACTTTGAAGCTTAGTGAACTAACCTAAGCAACCAAGAACTCTTTAGTACACTTACCTACTAGATATACGATTTTGATTTTACCCCTTTTTGCCACATGATACGAACACTGATGCAAGTAAGTTTTATGATAATGAACTACTCTTACATTTTACATGAATGATTATCAATACAAGAAGTGCTAGTAATTTTTAGAAACTAACTCGCGTCGGGTCGCTTCCCTCGACTCGCCGATAGATCACAAATAGCTTGAACTGGGAATAGCATTAGGAATAAGAGTTTCAACCTAAGGGATAACGCCCTGCGAGCCTGCAGATCCGAAGTCGAATGTTCAGAACCTTGTTGACCGAAGGTGGATGTAGGGGAACGAGGATGGTTTAGGTTGATCGATGGAGACCGGTGGAGAAGAAGGAGGAGGAAAAATGGAATATGGATATGGAGAAGATCACGAGGATGGAAATAAGACAAACAACTCCACTATATAAGAGTGATCTTTTCGGTGGAATAAACTATTCCCCCCAGTGTCGTCTACCGTCAACCTACTGGCGATCAAGATGAGATTCGAACTCACGTGGGGAAACCCCAATGGATTGCTAACCTTAACCACTCGGCCACCTGATCTGGTTCTCTGCCCTGTAGGAGCGATTCCAACAGCTCGTAATTGCTTCCTCCAATTTCCTGCAAAAAAATCAATCTTTGTTCAATCTCATCGCTAACCTTCCTCAGTACGAGGAAGTTATTAAATAGGCGCCACCAAGTGCGCCACGGTGTGCCTGGCACATAAGCGCCAGGCGCGCGTCCCCGGTAGACCTCTACTAAGGTCCCGGGTTCCGCCACCGCGGACGCCTTAATAGAAACTGTACCGTCCTGGGATATCGACATCTTAAGTTCTCTTGAATACTGGATAGATTACGGCCTCCTCTGGACTGGTGGCGGTGTCGTTAACTTGATTGCTACTGCCTCTGCTGCTCCGCGTCGTTCTTCTGGAATCCGTGTTACTGGCCTGATCGCCAGTAGGTTGACGGTAGACGACACTGGGGGGAATAGTTTATTCCACCGAAAAGATCACTCTTATATAGTGGAGTTGTTTGTCTTATTTCCATCCTCGTGATCTTCTCCATATCCATATTCCATTTTTCCTCCTCCTTCTTCTCCACCGGTCTCCATCGATCAACCTAAACCATCCTCGTTCCCCTACATCCACCTTCGGTCAACAAGGTTCTGCCCATTCGACTTCGGATCTGCAGGCTCGCAGGGCGTTATCCCTTAGGTTGGAACTCTTATTCCTAATGCTATTCCCAGATCAAGCTATTTGTGATCTATCGGCGAGTCGAGGGAAGCGACCCGACGCGAGTTAG